ATTGGTTGAGTTGGGATTGGTCACCCAACGAGTGGGACGTTTTGGTGCGTTCGTGCCAGGTGGATGATATTTGATTGCGTTAAGACGAGTTCTGAAATATGTATGGCCGAAACCTATTTCCTTAACGCCAACTTTGAAAGCATTATGGAGGCAATTAACTGAGAAAAGGTGTAGATTCAAGTTGTTGGATCTAGTTGGTGCCGCAAGCAATTAAGAAAGTGGGGTTAATGTTTGGTTTCCGTCGGATACCGCAATACCACCATCAGTGAAGAATTGGATAATTGTCTATATTTTACTCTAAATACCGGTGTGTCACGGTCTTACTGCAATGTTCTCCTGGTGGGGATCTCAACTTTTACACTATATCTTCCGGCATCACTCATGGTGCGATTAAACACCGTTCCGTAAGAAGTATCGTTTGGTTTGCCACTTCATAGCCATGTCACCACTTTTACGAAATCAGGAAGGGAAAAAAACTGGTCATTCTGAATCTCGTGTTTACCATTCAGTGACTTATATTCGACACAGTAACAGGGATTAGCTCCTCGGGATGCAAAAATCATGCAGCACTGCTTTTCCGCTGCATCTATTCTGCAGAACATTTAGACGAGGGGGTCGAAGAAGCCCGTGTCATACAACAAAACAGCATCCTATTTGATCTCACCAAGGCTGTCGGTTGGTGGTTTCTAACTGATCAATCCAATAATACCGCTTGAGTAAAATTCGTCAGCCAATTCGGCACGCTAATAAGAGCAGTACGGACATGTCACGATCCCAATTCAAAGGAATGTAAATTCCTTCAAGAGGAGTATGATTTGTGCGTATGTGTTTGCTGGATGGAGCAGCGTCTATAGCCACTAAGGTCAAGATAAGAATTTCAACAAAGCCGAAACCAACCTAAAGAAAGTCAAAACACTAGATCACGGGAGCAACAGTTTCGCTGCACTACTGCAGATACATGAGACTCCATGGCAGAAAAAGTTTGGCCCAAACAGACAAGATCAAGGAAGAAAGCCGGAGTGTTAGAAATTCCGAAAACTAAGCGTAGTGGTGCTGTTGCCCCAAAAAAGGAACAATGATGCTAAGTGATGGTTTACTAACGTGACATTATCTGTATGTCCGGGTTCGTCAACCCTAGCTTTGCCTCCTCCTACGTTATGGATATTCAAATTCCCTCCTCACTACAAAAAGAAGGATTAAGCTACTCTGTAAGATGCATATGACCTTGAAAGGAGCACAATGGGCCAGCAAGTCGATGAAAGCAAACAATCCGATCTCAAATGGTTGCTCCCTAGCTGTCATATTACTCTGCTATTACTAAAAATCCCCATCCTTTCGCTGATTACCGAATAATACCAGTCTCGCGGGAAACACTTCATCATAATGTTAAAACACAAAGTTGGTTCAGGAAATGAAATGTTAACCTACCGTCCGATAAGTAACATCTCATCTGTCTCCGAAGTCCCTGAAAAATAGTTAACAACACAACTGTTTAATTTCTTACACGACTAAACTTGATCAACCACTCATAACAGGGCTCCTACGTTACGCTCCTACGTTACCTACTAGACAATTCTTGGACTATGTTGCCACCATGACTGACAGAGGTATGGCTGTGATATCACTTCCCTTCGCATGCAATAAACATTCGACCATACGCCAGACAGGCCAGTTATATCCGTGTTGGCATCATATGGCACTGGAAACCCACTGTTAAATTACCTCGACTGTTAACTAAACGATGAATCCCAGAGACGCAGAATTGGCCAACAATACTATACGCTGAAACAAACAATCACCGATACCATCCAGGAAAAATTCACGAAAGCGACGTATGTGAATTCATCAGATACGGACGCTCCCACCTGTTTGCACATGACGTTAACCTGGTCTACTACTTTTGCCAGACCAATTGCAACTACGCCTAAAAAACCGATGTGAGTACCTACCAACGCCTGTCAAGAAGAACCTCCGCAAGATAATCCCTGGTAGTTGAGTGCAAATTCTCTAGAACTGAAGGCTCCATCACCCTTGCCAATGAGGTGATCTTAACCTCAAATTCAGTTGGAGAGTTGGGAATGGGTATTCTAACTTATTCCCTTCCCCTGAATATGTCTTTTACCAAGTCACAAAAGCCACATAGCTCTCGGTCTGCATCAGTGGGAATTTCTCCACGCCTAATACACGACTTAAGCTATTTAATAAAGACTTTTGTCAATATATTAAATGTGTTAAAGACACTTGGATCATAGAAGTCTACAGAAGCATTACCGGAATGTAGCCTAAGTAATGTATGAATGGTTAGAAGCCTACAGTCATCCTGTCCTTTTTTTCTCATTACCCATACATTGATACGTGCGCCTGTTCCGCCTAACCTTCCTCTTTCTACCACTGACTGCTCCCGAGTTTCGCAAAGATGTAAATTTGAAAACGGTGGCGCAAACATATGTACTAAATGATTACCTAGTAAGCGAGCACGTCGCTGAACTGTGAGAAATACATGATTTGAAGAGCTTTAAATTATTTTTATTTACGATATCGGAACTAACATCACTGCTTGCTTACACCTAATGGTCATATACCGCCTGTGGGTAAATGTACACAAACTCATATGTACTTATTATCGATCAGTTTAATCAATATACACCAAACTATGTTACAAAGTCCGCCCAAGTTAAAAAATTGCCATACAGCTTGTACAAAGCATAACACGATTGATATAAGTTCTGCGAAAGGTGCGTTCACGAAAATAAAATAAATAATCTCTGCACCAGAACGCCATATTACAAATTGTGGTACAACATTTTATTTTGTAGATGTAGGTATTTTCTTTAGTCTGTTCAATAACATAAGGGTAACATGTACCTAAACGTTAGTGTGCTTGGAGGGGATTGCGTTGCAAAGTGAATGACGGAATCACAGCCTTTAACTCCTTGGCAGACTAAGCCCGGGAAATAAACGTTTGTGCACTCATTATGCTTATGCTCATCATGCTTATCAGCGAAATGAAAAATACGAAGGTCGGTGCAAAAGAACACGATATTTAGTGTCAGGCCAACTTGTGTGGCCAGTACATGCTATTGATTCGCCTGTGGAGAAAGTAGGTGACCGACCTGAGCCGCCAGGTTAAGTAGGGCAGGATTATTCAGAAATACCATACTGATCCTACTTTAGTACGTGCCTCTACTGTTAAACCTGTGACTCTCATCCTACACAGGAATGCTGCACGGGCTACTGCGTAAAAAATTTATTACACTAATCGTCGCCTGAGACAGATTATGCATTTGCTGTGTGACCGATTGTTTTAGTCCTTTGGAAAACTTTCAACTATGTTTCCAGCATAATTCCTTCGGGAATTAGCAGATCTACAAACAGTATGGTGCTTGTCTTCACTTAACAATGAACCAGGTATTCTTCTCAGTGTTGATTGGTGCCAGTGCTCTAGTACTTTTAAGACGTGATTTTGCTCACAAAAGTGCTAAATTTGCTAGGGAAAGTACTTGAAATGGACTCCCTTATGGGTATCACGCTGTTTGGAGAAATTTGAAGGTATATTCAACGAGATACCTAATTCTGTGTGGATGTCTTATGCGATGTGATCGTATTTTGTGAAGCGAGAGTTTTCGTCACAACCCCCGATTAATAGCTATATTGCTTTCGGAAAAGCACTTATACGGGCTGCCAACAGCTTTATCTGATTGCCAAACTTTTTGTAGTCTAGTTAACGCGTTCTGTCAGTACCACTTGAGCAGCACCAGTTCTCAAACTGAGTAAGATCCCTTACTCTGTACTAGTAAACAGTACTTAACGTATACGCACTACCACACCGACGTCGATAGTTTACGACAAATTCTGCCTCATTTATCTTGTAGCTAAGTGAAGAGGGACCATCTAAGCTTGCATTGTAGACCCACAAGATTGTGGTAGAGAGGTTGACAAACAAATCGCTTGTCGCTGTTGATAGTAGTCTAGGATAAAGCTAAGCTTGTTGGCTGCGTGCCAGAGTAGCATATGAGCGGTGCGTGTCGTGAGTACATTCCATTACCGCCAAATACATATCTTCTACTTTTATGACCTTTACTGAATTCCTATCTGTTGTGCTCCAAATTGTTCACACCTCGTTGCACAAGATTATGTGCTCTGGTATTACGCTTCCATAGAACAGAGGAGAAGAGGATGCGCTTTGTCCGCTTGAAAAATTTAGATTGAGCAAAACATATTTCATTCAGCGCAAATGCTATATTGTTCA